GAAATGAAGAAGACATAAGAACAGTACTATGTTGTACAGTCAGAAACCTCCTAGTCATATTGCAAGACATAAAAAAATGGAGCCAAAAATGACGAATTTATTAATGAAACAAAAGCAAAAATAGCAGAAAAGGATTAGAAAATTTCAGACAGCTTTTCTCTATGCGATAATGTGCTACTTTACAACGAAAGGGTTGTAATCCCCAAAACTTTACAAAAACGGATACTAAAGGATTTCCACAGAGGACACCCGGGTAAAAATAGAATTAAGTCGCTAATGCGAAGCTATGCATATTGGAAGAATGGTGCTCGGTAAAAATGGCAGCGGTAAAAATGGCAAAAGTGGATAAATAGGAAAAAATGGCAATTCGACAACAGAAAATTATGACCGTTCTAGAAGGATGGGTCTAAGCTCCCATCCCTCTAGTTTAAAATAGGGCTAAGTCCCCCCCACCTCAATATTTTAAAATAAATTTTCTACACCACCCCATAGGTAATAATACTTTTTTAAAAAAATTATTGGGGTCGCAGGCCTAGGCTCCTAAGCACTCCCTTCTGCAAGTACGACCCTGCTATTGTTGTGGTGGGGTTTTATCTGGATCCCTCGATTCTCAGTTTTATAAAAATATAGAGGAGGGTGGCTTAGCCCCCAAATTTCAACATCAGAACGGCCGAAAAATCAAATTTTCAATCGACTTTTAGTTAACAAATTTTCCTACCTTGTCAAAATTACCGTGTCATCCGTTACCGAATTTTTGTAAATTCATAAAATTGAACTTTCATGCCAAATGTTTGGTGCCCAGAAAATTCGGTAACTGAAGATTCCGTAACAGAAGATTCGGTTAGTCACTGAATTTTCCGTTATCTATTCTTCCGTTACCGAATTTTTCGGACACCACTGCAACAATATACTTTCTGGATGGCGAGGTTAGGGGCTAAGACCTCCTCTAATATTTTTAAATATTTTTTAAATAAGTAAAATCGATTTATCTGTGTTAAAGTTAAGTTCTTGTATCTTCTTTTAAGTTATTATTTTAAAAATACTTTTTTTAAAAAATATTGGGAAAGGAGGCCTAGCCCTCTAAACCACTTTTCTGCAAGTACGGCTCTATTATTGTTGTAGGATTTTTTTTCTGGGTCCCACGATTTTCAGTTATTTAAAAATATAGGAGGGAGGATTAGCCCCCAAATCCCCACTCCAGAACTGCCCTAAAATCAATTTTTAATCGACTTTTTTTATTTCATAGTTACCGAATTTTCCTATCTTGTCAAATTTACAGAATTTTCCGGGAAGCTTATTATTTATGAACAGGGGTCTGTCTGGTTATTTATTAAAGAAACTTTAAAACGGAAACTTTTTTAGAATGTACTTATCTCATTTGTTCTTATCATTGGTTTTAATAAGAACACTATAGCGAAGAAAACGGCGACTTACCTCGTCAAACAAAGCGACAGCGCGTCGCGTGTATCCTACGACGGAAAATGTGGCGAAAAAGAAAATTACTTACCAAAGGACACGGAATATGTAAATTAAAAACAAGTCTGTCGCAGGAGTCGCTGTAAATGTATTTTGATATGCAAAAATTGGGCGTCCTCTCCCAGTTCTCGACGAATAGAAAAAATGCTCGGCCGATAAAAGCAGTTGGTGTTCTCGAATCGGGGGGGGGTCGGGTATTTTCGTTACCGCGTTTGTCGGAGAGTGTGTTATTTTTGTAACTGGTTGCGTGCATTGTGATTTTTGAAATAGTACCTGCGAATCGAGTTTTCGGCATTTCTTTCTGCCCCCGATGCTCGAATCTGAACGTAGTGATTTATTCTCTGCGTTGTGGAAGTCATCCGCGACAAATATTTCCTTTGCATTCCCAGATCGCTTACAAGCTATTTCGGCGCTATGACGGACAAGACATTTGACGTCAAGTTGATACACGAGTTTGATGGTTCAGTAACCAGGCTGCAGTTGAATAGAAACCAACTGTTGGGCCGAGCTCGGGCCATAAAGAAAGATCAAATTGCAACTGATTAAATGGTTGCGGCTACCATTTCACCATGCAGAGCTGATAAACATCCAAATGTTAAACGTCGGGAGGGTATGCGATGCTATCGATGCTCTAGGTGGAATCACCTTTCCAGGGATTGCCCGGTTCGACGTGGAGATGCCCGTCAGCTACGCAGGTCACGCACAACAATGCGTTGCTTCCGGTGTCAAGAAGTAAGCCACATTGCTTCATTGTGTCCGGGGAAAAGAGGAATGGGACAAGACGTCAGCGCCGTTCTCTTCCCTAAGCGAGTTATGAATGAAGCGCTACCCGTCTTGGGTATTTACGTGAACGGAATTAAGAGAGTGGCACTGGTGGATACTGGCTGCTCACAGACATTTGTGAGTAAGTCAGCCTGACAATCCTGGCGGGTGACGAAAGTGAACGTACTCACCGTAAACGGAAATACTCTCAAATGTTGCGGAGTTGGAAGTATTAAGCTTGTCGTGGACAACGCAAAGCCCCTCAAAATCGAAGTCTTGATAATGGATGGAGAGCTATTGGGTTTTGACTTGTTGCTTGGGTTCGACGCCATTAAAAAGTTGGGCGGACTCCAAATAACAGAGTGTGGTGATGTACGGTTTCCCAAGCGTGGGATAGTCTGTTGTGCCACTATTAAAATAGAAGAACCTGATTTCTGCGCCGAATTCGACCCAAACCAGAAGATATGGGTCGCATCATGGAAGTGGTTTGATGGTCGATTACCGGAGAGTTTGCGAAATCGAATGCCCGAGTACCCAATACCAACGGGAGTCAAGGAGGAACACGGCCGTGAGCTGCAGACCTGGCTTGATAACGGTTGGTTGCAGCCTTATCCTGAAAAGGAACTTGGTCCTCCAAAAGGTTTAATTCCGTTGATGGCAGTAGTGCAGAAAATCAAAAATAAAGTGCGGCCAGTATTAGACTATCGAGAACTGAATGAGTGTCTCGACGCACACGCAGCCAATGCTGACATGTGCGCACAGAAACTGAGGGAGTGGCGTAAAAAAGGACCGGATGTCGCTATCCTTGACCTACGGCAGGCCTATCTATAAGTACATATCCATGTCACTTTGGCTCTTTCAAACTGTAATCTTCAAGGGGTGAAGATATTGCTTGACCCGAATGGGTTTCTGGTTGAATGTCACAACAGCCATAATGAAGGCCATTGTGGATACCGCATTGTCGAAAGACAAGTCAGTTCGACGGGCAACCTCATCATATATTGATGATATTTATGTTGACGAGAGCATGATTTCAGCAGCTCGCGTGAAGGAGCATTTGAGTGCGTTTGGTTTGACCTGCAAGGATCCGGAGCGTTTACGGGACGGCACACGTGTGCTGGGTTTGCATGTCGAGCAAGATAACAACACGCTTAACTGGAAACGTGAAAATGGCATTCCATCAGTTCCTGAGGTCCTGACGCGACGTAACGTCTTCTCGTGGTGCGGAAAACTGGTGGGTCACGTTCCTGTGTGTGGGTGGCCTCGTGTTGCTGCATCATTTGTAAAACGCAGGACAGTATCGATCACGTCTGGCTGCGACGATGAAGTGACAGATGCTCCCCTTAAGAACATGATTGGGGACATAGCGGAAAGAATACACCAGAATGACCCTGCACACGGCAAGTGGTGCACAAGCGGACACGCTTATGAGGTATGGGTCGATGCAAGTTCTCTCGTCACAGGGGTTTCGTTGGAGGTTGACGGAAGCGTTGTAGAAGACGCATGTTGGCTGCGGCCTGCGAAGGACGCCCAACATATCAATTTATCAGAATTGGATGCTATTCTGAAGTGCGTCAATTTAGCACTACAGTGGGATGCAACGGAGCTACACCTCTTCACGGACTCCGCGTATATGCACCGGTGGGTATCGAACATGCTCACTGGCAAAGCCAGAATACAAACTAAGGCAGCAAGTGAGATGCTGATCCGGAGGCGTTTGAATAAGCTGATTCAAGAGTATAACTTATTGATCACCATAAGTTTATTAACGTCGAGTGTGAATCGAGTGGATAAGCTCACCAGAATACTGCAACGATGGTATGATGTGATCAAGAAGGAAATCGAACCAACACGCCCGATATACGCTTCCATTATGAATGAAACCTCTCCTGATCAGATACGTGCCATACATTGCCAGAGTGGACATCCTGGCGTCAGGCGAACGCTGTATTTTGTGAGACGAGTTTACCCTATAACATCCAAGGCGGCCGTCAAGGCAGTGTTCAGAAAATGTAAAGAATGCCAGTCAATTGACCCAGCTTCAAGTCGTTGACCTCGTGGCAAACTAAGTGTGACTGAAATCTGAACCCGCTTAGGAATGGATATTACGCATTACGGTGGGCAATACTACCTTATGTTAATTAATTATGGCGACGCCTGCTTCAACAAGACTCAAGAAGCGACAGTTGTAAAGTATTTTTTTTTGAACGAGGCCCACCATCAGAAATCCTGACCGACAATGACACTGCATTTCGCAGTAAGTTCTTTAAAGATTTCTTGGATGACGGAGGAGTCCAACTTCGTTTTCGCTCGCTTATGTTCCTGCAGGAAACGGTATAGTGGAAAGATCTCATCGGAGCATAAAGCGAATTGCAGCAAGAAAGCAGTGTTCGATAATGGAGGCAGTATACTGGCATAATATCACGCTGAAGGATGATATATCGTCGACTAATGCGCCTGCCAATATGATTCACCGTTACCAACTGAAAGTGAAGGGAATTACTACAACATTACCACGTGATCGTTGTAAGTATCACGATATATACAAAGTTTGGAACAGAGTATGAGTGAAAGCTCCCCATGGCTGGTGTATCAAGTGGCTCGCGTGACGGACATTGTAAGTCCACAAACAATAATAGTCGACGGGATGCCACGGCATGTAAAAGATCTTCGCCTTTTCGTTGATTCTGATACATCACCGAGCGAATCCGATGATGGTTCATCGTCTGACAGTGATCGGATAATTGAGATCTGAGAATCTGATGCTTCCACAGACGCAGAGATACCGGAAACTCGAGATACGTCTGATGACTTCTCAGGAGACGACTTTCCGACACGCGTAAAGGAGATAGTTCCATTACGGCGAAGCACCAGGATAAAGAGAGCTGCTCCAACCTGTACGATTTGTGATAATGAGATCGGGGTGGAGTATAGCGAAGAAAACGACGACTTACTTCGTCAAACCAAGCGACAGCGGGTCGTGTGTATCCTACGACGGAAAATATGGCGAAAAAGAAAATTACTTACCAAAAAAAGGACACGTATTCCGCATGACATGCTGAAGATGGAATATGTAAATTAAAAACAAGTCCGTCGCAGGAGTCGCTGTAAATATATTTTGATATGCAAAAATTGGGCGTCCTCTCCCAGTTGTCGACGAATGGAAAAAATGCTCGGCCGATAAAAGCAGTTGGTGTTCCCGAATCGGGGGGGGGGGGGGATTCGGGTATTTTTGCTACCGCGTTTGTCGGAGAGTGAGTTATTTTTCTGACTGGTTGCATACATTGTGATTTTTGAGATAGTACCTGCGAATCGAGTTTTCGGCATTTCTTTCTGCCCCCGATGTTCGAATCTGAACGTAGTGATTTATTCTCTGCGTTATGGAAGTAATCCGCGACAAATATTTTCTTTGCAATCCCATATCGTTTACAAACACTTAATAATCCTAATTCATAAATTAGGATGTAATCTTTAAAAGAATGCAGTATATAGAAAGTACTGGGAAAATGTTATTCATACACTAAAATGAAATAAAAAAATTGTCAAGAAAATATATACTGGTAACATTGATATAATTTTTTTTAATTTTTTAAAATTGATTTATTTTTATACTGTTGAGCGTTTTTCTGTATTTGAATTATAGTGATGAACTTTTGTCAAGCCCCCAGCTTTTGTCTGTTCACTGTGATGCCACCAGAGCATAAATGGCAATTTCCTGCCAATCAGAATCACTACCTCTTTTGTTTGATGCCAATATACAAGCGCTAGAATTGCAACAATTGAGGTATTGGTCAAATATCCAGAAATGTGTGAATTACTTCACAAATTCATTACGGCCATTCCCTGTTGAGAGACTATTCAGCCTTGGAGGAGGAATTTTTCAAAAAAACAGTCACAGCTTGAAAGAAGGAAATTTCGAAAAACAATTATTACTAAAGTTAAACTCCAGTTTATGATAAAATAAAATTTGTAAAACTAAATTTGATGTTTGCTGAGGTCATTCTTTTGGAGTTAGGAATGACATGCTTTATAAGGAAGTACATTGGGGGAACTTTGGTACGTTTTTATGGGTAAAGGGTATGCTGACAGGCTAAATGTTGGTTCTTATTAAATCTGAGTACCAAAATATATCATACCCAGCTTATTAATTGCAAAAATGTCCAACTTTTAGCTATGGAGAACTGAAAAAAGCCATTCTTTTTTTAAGGGAGTTGGAGCTGGAGCACCTCCTTTTTGAAAATGGGGAGTGTGAGGGGAGCCAGCTCCAATTTTGGGTATGGGAGTGGGAGTAGGAGCAGCTCCAAAAATAGTGGAGCACTTAAAACCTTGTAATGAATTAAGTCCAACAATTATTTAATATATTTACTGTTTATATTAAGTCCATAAAAAACATATAAACAGAATATATATATATATATATATATATATATATATATATATATATATATATATAAATAAACAATTTATACAAAAAGTTAAATAGCAATGTTAATGTGATTAATGGCAAAATCACTTTGCTAAGAAGATCAATGAGACATTAAATTACTATAAATTCCTTAAATATTAAGATCCTTATATTCGAGTTAACATTAACATTGCTATTTAATTCTTTGTATAGATTGTTTCTTTATGATATAAAATATAGGCTGCACAATCTAATATATTTATGACATCAGATCCACAGCACAGTAATACTCTTAAATTCTGTGGAAAACTACTAAGACATTTTTACTCTACTAATTGGATTCTACTAAGTTCATTTAAATATATATAACAAGAATATTTTGTGGTTTTATAACTTTCAAAAATTCAAACAAAATTCTTACTTTATTGATTTGAACAAGAACTCTAGTGCTGTGGCATCACATGTTCCCAAACATATATTCAACTGTCAATAAATTAATAAAAGCTTTATTATGGCAAAAAGAAAGAAAGCATTTTATGTTTAAATTTTGCTCTGATGGAGCTATGGTTGGAAGGGTATAATATAACTCTTCCTTAAAGAACTCAATAATGCAAAGCAGACACTAGTTAACAATGGTTTTCTTAACTACCTCAACAACCACCATATTAGACAATTTCTTTCCAAAGTAACTAATACTGAACATATAGACAAAAAAATAACATTAACATCTACAAAAATCAAATGCACATCAACTATAAGCAAGATTAATTTTCACTTAGAAATAGCAAAAAGAAATATACTACCCCAGTCAGCCCAAACAAGAAAATTAAATTAATTTTCTATTACAAAAAAATTAAATCAGCTAACCTTATCATCAAAACTAACAAAACTCCTGCAAAATCAAAATTACAAAGAACCAACATTATTTATGAGTTCAAATGCCCCTTAAGTAATTGTGTCCCTGATCAAACTAGACTCATAAATAATTACATTGATCACACCACTATATGTCTATCCAGGCAACTTAAGTTACACCTACCTGACCATAGCTCAATTAGGACTCATTTAAACACAAACCTTCCAGACACCATCTGAAACATATTCATAGGAAATGCAATCATAATAACCTCATCCACATTTAAAAAAATATTAAAAAATGGAAACTCTAACAATAAAAAAGAAAAAGCCAATACTCAACAACATTAACTATGAACATGGCTAAAATGTGCTGACCGTGTTTGTAAAATAAAACATTCCTATAATCTAGATACATATATAATGCAACCCATACATTCAGTTAAAAGTAAAAATAAAATAATCCTTGATAATGGCTAAAAGTGTAGCCAAAAGTGCTTGGACATGAAGGACTTTTGGACAATTTTTACACACTTTGTATCCAGAAAAGAAAACACTTGTCTGAACACAAGAAAAATTAAATAAAAGCCTAATCACAGTACCTTGTCAGTCGTATTTAATATATATATATATATTTGTGTGTGTGTGTGTGATTTGTTAAAGATGACTGATAAGGTACTACAATATATATATATATATATATATATATATATATATATATATATATATATGTATTTGTGTCTGTGTTGTGTTGTGTTATATATATATATATATATATATATATATATATATATATATATATAACGTACATATATATATACAGGGTGCGATGAGTAAATTGTCGCCATTTTATATTTTTTAATTTCAAGCATGTGCATTGTTTGTTATTGATTTTGTTGACTCCACAGTATAGTAGGGCCAGTTGGGCACTGTCTGTAAGAAAAAGAGCACCATGATGCAATTCATCCTGTCACATATTTGGAAACAGCATGCTGTACCACTTGGTATTCATACCTGAAGCTCCAATGCAAACATTTCAGAGTATTTGGGTGTCAATCTGAAGACAGTGCAGAGGATTCAGAAAGAGCTGGATGAGTCTAATAGTGATTACAAAGGTACAGCAGCTCAGAAAACTCACTCTGTTCTGATAAGAAAAGAATTCCTGAATTTGTTGGTGACATCTAGGCCATGATTGAAAACCATCCCTCAGTCAATCAGGTCCATAACCAGGGAGGTAGTGCTGCCCAAACTGCAAACCCTTTGATTATTATGTATGGGGTGCAGAAGAGTTACAGGAGATTCTGAAGTCATTTATATGGCCATGGTTGAAACCAATAGTGATTCTATTGAATAAATTTACCATTTAGTATTTCAAGATATTTTTGTTTAATTTTGATAAATATATCTGTTAAAATGAGATAGTGTTATTTTCATTTTTGAGTAATTTAGACAATTTATCCATTGCACTCTGTATATAAGTACATATATGAATGTATATGTATGAATGTACACACACACACACACACACACACATATATATATATATATATAGAGAGAGAGAGAGAGAGAGTGATGTGACTTGATTTTAAGTACTTGCCCAATCTCAACAATTACTAAATATAAAAGCCTGAAGATATCACTTCTTGGCTTCTTCCTCTTAAAGAAGTATGGCTATGTCTAGATACTGATGAACTCCTAATGCCAAGATAAGAAATTGAATAGCATCACCTATTTGGGAAAAAATGTAAAAAACTTGTCCAAGAACTGTATTCAAATTCTGATATTTATTGCCAAAGTATGACAGATTTTGAAGGAAACTGCTAAATCTTTGCTCAATGTCTGAGAATATTAAAAAAATTTAATTAAAGAAGATCAGTATTACATACATATATCCAAGATACACAATAAGAAATGAACATTTTTTGTGTATATATTTATATGTGCAAAAATAAATGCTTTCTTCACCTGCAGCAAAATACACAACTAACATGACTGATGAATTTTAGTCACTGTGTGTTTTCATGGGCTGATACATCATTATGGGTGGTCCAGGATTGTTAGGAGATGGGTGATTATATTGAGGCACCAATTCTAGTATGGTTATGAAGCAAAGCTATAGAACCCAATCTATCTTGCTAGTTAATTCATAGTTGGTCGGAGAGAAGAGATGGATTCATACCTTTCCCAACAGTATTTCTGCACAAATGAATATAACAAATTCATCTGGAATTTGAACTTGGCTCTCTGGTTTCTTATTCTGAGCCACTATCCATAACACCACCCAAACATCTATTTGAATACACTGTCTATAATATCTTTATTTCAAATCTGTTACTTTTATGTTGATGCATCATTATCAGGCGTTTTTAAGTAATATTTATTATGCAAAAAGAAAAGGTAACAATTCAACAATAACATTTTTAAATGATTACTCCGGAGCATATGATCATCGACATGCATTTTTATAACCTGAAAATAAAATACTTTTATTAAAAAAGTAAACAAAACAGCAATTTTTATTAACAAATAACTCGCCTACAAAATCGCCTGATAATTATGCACCAACAAAATATTTTCATACATAATTGAATATGACTTTGCCAAACATTTATCAGTTTGGCTATATAATTTTGAATACGTTTCTTTTTTGAAGAAACATGTCTATATACTTATATAGATGTATGTCTGTATTTCCACATTCATTATTATATCAATAAGCATTTTTTTTGTCTTCAGAAAAGAGATTTATTAGCTTATTAAAAATATGTATGAAAATATCACACAAATATGTAAGCACTCTCATTCACACACATTCACATAAGTGGGAATACACAAGCATACACAAAAAGAGTTATATGGAAATACAGAGGAGCTGCAAAAATAAGTATACAGTAAGTAAATCAATACAGTACGTAAAAGTAGGTAATGAAAACTATATTTTGTGTGCTTTTTTTGTTTTTTATTACTGTATATCTACTTATGCATCCCTCTGTATAATAAGAATACCTGATCACAATTGATATATGATGGTTAATGTGAGAAAATGAAATGGGACATAAATATAGCTTTAAAATATCACTTTCAAAAAGAAAACTATATTTAGCTGTAGACAAATTTTAATAACTGAAGGAAATGGGTATCCAGAAGTATTGGCCATTTCTTATACCAGATAAGAAAACACAGCAGCAAATAATTTGTTCCAATTCTAAGGACTACAATATATATTAGGCTTACTCATTAACAACTTTTTAAATAGAAACAACCCCCAAAATAATCAAAGAATCTGTAAATAAAAAACTTCTTCATGCATGAGAAATAGTCTTTTTATCTATGAAAATAAAAAACATTGCCATAGTACTTGATTTTAATCATAATATAAATTGTCTTATTTCTTCAAAAGAGACTTCCTAAATCTTAAACTAGATCCCCCAATTAATAATGCATTCAGCAAACTTCCACTTAGTGCATGGTGACAACCACCCAATTTACTATCATTACTCACATCTTTCAAAAATAAAATGACCAAATCCACTTAGGCAATTATACATGTAATAAACCACAATGCCAAATCTTTAAGCACATTGTTACCAATACAACTTACATTTCTCCAGGTACAGAAGTTAATATGCACCCCCTTCACCTTAGTTGTGATAGCTCAAACATGGTCTACTTGATTGTTTGCAATGTCTGTGACGAGGTAATTATGTTGATGAGCCTAGCTCAAAATTTTGTCTCTAATTCAACAATCACAAAAGGACAATTAGAAACAACTCTAATTACTCTGTGATAGCACATTTGAACTTAGCCAATCATAGTATAAACAACTTTTAGATACATCTTTCTAGACTCTTTCTTTAATTCTCAGAACAGCCATAGGAAACCTGAAAGCAAATTCATTAGATAACTTAATACCCACAATTTAATATTAAATAAAGACCTAGAAATTCTCAATGATTATGCTTTTTACAAAAATGACAACAGAAACAGCTGTTTTTTTTTCTTTTCTTTTTTAGTTTTAATAGCTGGACAAGACATAAGTACATCATTTGTTTACATGCTTACATATTTTTCTATGTGCCTATGTTTATTACTATTTTCTAACCATGTATATGTATTCATACAGATGTTTATTTATTGTATAATTTTCTCTTTCTACTTTTTTTTCTATTAATGCTATTACTATTTTAATAGTCATTATTATGATTATACTCATTCTTATCACCCTATGGTCACAGATAATATCTCCCTGATTTACATATTGCCAATTTTAGTATCACTTTTTATGGTAGTTATTAATATTATTATTATTTAATATTCTTCATTTTATATCCTCAAATATACACTCCTCTGAACACTTTAATAATACACTCATTTATAGCATGACTTTTGTCTTCACCATTTATTGCTCACGGGATGATGGTATTATAATGTTTGACAGAATAGTAGAGAAGATTGATGACAATCTCTCTGTCCATCCCTCAGCTACCATTCACATTTGTGGCAATTTCAACATTCACCACAAGGAGTGGCTTGTCAACTCAAACAGAACTGAAGAAGGGGTAAAATACTGTTATGATTTCTCCATAGCTTACAAGCTGATCCAAATTATAGACAAGCCTATTCATGTTCCTGATAAAGCTGGGCATCACACTAGCCTATTAGACCTGTTCTTAACCTCATTCCTGATTAATGTTCCTCAGAGGTGTTGCTTGTTTTAGGCACCTCAGACCATTCTATGCCAAGGTTGATGCAAAAACAAAGACCTCCTAAGATGTGCAGTTTCATAAGACAATCTCTACCAGTATAACAAAACTTATTGGAACAGCTTTAGATCCAACATTGCAGAAGCACCCCAGTTAGTACTCTTTAAAATAGACCTTCCGGGATAACCTCCCTCATATCCAAGTTAATTCTTTCCAGAATTGAAAGATTATCCTTCACAAAGAATACTAGTTAAAGCCAAATAGCCAGCTCTGGTTCACACCTGAATGTGCCACAGCCTTAGTCCACCATAACCACTACTACCATAACTAATATTGTCAGAGAGAAAAATATAGCAGAAACTTTGCCTCATTCAGAACTGCATGCAATCACTGCAAAACAGTCCAAGAAAATGCAAAATGAAGCTATACACAGATGGTCTAAGCCAAAGTAGAAATCAAAAATCTTGGATCCTGCCAGTTCTGGAAAATCATAAATGCAGTATTCAACAGAGGCAAATTGTTAGTGCCTTCCATTATAAATGGTACTTAGGTTTTCTCGTCATTATCACATAAGTTTTTGCTATGAACTCTAGGCTAGATGACAAAGACCATTCCTTACTTGATATTCTCCACCTCACAACCTTTGTGATGTCATTATATTAGCTCTGGAGATTTCCAGAATTATCAAAAGCCTTGACTCTATGAAGGTTACTGGTCTGGACAAAATTCCTGTAGTTGTTCTCAAGAACTTTGGCCCCAAACTGTCTCCAATCTTGGTGAAGCTGTTTAGCTGCTGCCCTAAAAAAGTTGTTTCCCAAGCTCATAGTAGGTATCTAGTGTGTTTCCTGTATAAAGAACACAGGTAAGCGCTTGTCTCTGTTAGCCTCCTTAGTGTCATTAGCAAACTTTTTGAAGCTATCATCAACAAGAAAATTGATTAACACCTAAACAAAACAAACTCCTGAATGGCAAACAGTATAGTTTTTGCTCTTATAGGTCCACTGCTGACATTTTAACTATTATCATAGATAAATTCAGTGAAGTGCTTGATAATAAAAACATTTTGAGAGTGATTGCACTAGACATCTTGAAGACCTTTGACAAGGTGAGAAACAGAGGATTGCTACTTAAACTGGACAGCTATGTAATCTCTGTGAGAGTTTGTTCAGTTACCAAGTCCATCCTGTCAGGTTGTCATTAATGGCCAGTCCCCTGAGGCACTAAGGCTCACTCCTTGATCTTACCCTCTTTCTGCTTTATATTAATGACCTACCTCAGCACATTCTCAGATCCTTAATAAATATATATTCACATGACACCATGGTATATGGGTGCCCCTCCAAATATCTGGATGACCAGAGCCTAGGAATTGATCTTTCCTCTAACCTATCTGGGTTTGTGCTGCACAATCCTCACTGTTCAGCATCATTGGCGTTCAAAAACACTTACACTGTCTTGTGTGAGATGAATAGTTTTCCACCCTACAACCTCTTTCCCACAGATGAAACATTGCTAGCCTCTCACTACTCTATTACTATTACCTTGGCAGATGTTCAGACAAGTTACATTCCTTAATTTCACCAGCTCAGACCTTCAGACCTAGGACCCATGATGCTATGTTCATATTCCCTTCATGTTCCTTTGATAAGGTGTAAGTTCCACTCAGCTTCTTCCCCAGGTGTTATTTTGCGGAACAAACTCCCAAGAGGATGCTTTCTTTACAAATATAAACTTAGTTTTTTCAAGTTCAGGATCAACTGATATCTAATCTATCCTACACATCCTTATAATGTGCACTTCTTACTCCCTCCTTCTCCTTTCTTTAAAACAATCTCACTCAGTAAGCCTCTACCTTGTGGCTCTTAGGCCTTGTATTGAATGAATTAACAGTAAAAGAAATGTAAAAAAATGCTCACAGCCACACACTTATAGTTGGTGTCATCTGACGCGAATAAGAGACAAGAAAGAAAAGGATAAAAATCTTTATCAGGTGCCACAACTAAAGGATTGATGAGTCTTGCACTGAGGTCATTAAAGTCCACTGGTTTTGATATTTAACCCATTTCAAAAAAATAATTATTATTCAATAACAAGCATCAAAGAAGGATACAGGAGCACTAAAACATTTTGTGATTTCAAAACACTTCACATATCTACCAAATAAAAACATATATATATATATATATATATATATATATATATATATATATATATAAATTCATTCTTGAGGATGAAATGGAACTAATGTCTTTTAATTTAATCACAAAATTAAATTCGTGGCTTTTAGCTTCCATTTTTGAAACATGGTTAGAACTGTGTAGCGAAAAACCATATTTTAAATCAATTTATAATTATATATATATATATATATATATATATATATATATATATATATATATATACACATTCACATACACACACACACAGTGTATATATACATACATTTATGTGTGGATTAATTCATGCCCTACTTTCAACGGAAACAGCCGATATATTCCGAAATCCGCGGTTAAAGTCACGTGTCTGTGACGTCATCGCATCAAATTGCAGGTGAGGTGGGACATTACTTTTCAATCAGTTGAACAGAGTAACTTTTTCTTTTGGTTAGAAATATAACATGATGTTAACAATTTCAGAAAAGTGGAGAAATTTTTTCTTTAAATGACACTGCAATTTTAGCTTCTTTTTTTGTGTGTCTATATTTTCAACGACACTAATTTTAGCAAAAACGATTTTATTTTTCTTAGCGAAAAGGAAAAAAACGTCAACGGTAAGTCTTTATTTCTCTCTCCCCCCCCCTCTCTCTCTCTCTTTCTCTTAAAATATCGTCTGCTTGCTTCAAATAAGTAAATATGTATTTGTATAGGAGCATTTCAATTTATAATCTGATTGTGTAATATTAAAAAAAAAAACGTTTCTGTTGAGTTTCGTAACGTTGTATTTTTTTACCGATATGTTAACATTTGTTTGGCACAAGGTCTTAGTATTGGGGCAGATTGTGATGACACAAAAATAAAATCTGTGTGTGTGTGTGTGTAGTGTACAGTTGTTGTGTACACAACAACAATAATTACGAGTAATAATCGTAAATTCAAAATAAACTTGCTTGCTCTTTTATAGTCGACCAGTAAGAAAATATGTTTTTCTTTTTTTTTGTCTGAGGTGTTGTTTTTTTTGTGTTTTTTGTGTTTTTTTTTTTTTTATTGAATGTGCGATAATTAACGTTATGCTTTGTAAATAAAAGTGCATGCAATTATTTATGGTGTGAAAATTCTTGTAACATTTTAATTTTCATTACTTTGCCATAACACACAAAAAAAAGTAAAAAAAAAAAAAAGAGGGTGTATTAGTGTGTAAAAATTGATTGTGGATTATGAACACATACACACACATGTGTATTATTTACACTCTTCTTGTCCTACACTGGATACACATACTTTTTTTATTCATTTAATTTTTTAATGTAGTTCTGTTAACTGTGTGTGTATGTGTGTTTGTGTGAGAGATAGAGAGAGTGTGTGTGTGAGAGAGACTAATCAGATTTGATTTATGTCGGTGATCAAGATTTTTTATTTGTTTATTTACGATGTCGAAATCGAAAGTAGTAAGTTAAGTTAAAAAAGTCACCCAACTGAAAATTAAAAAAAAAAAAATCTCTTTCGCTCTCATCTCATGTCCCTTCATGATGAATTTGGCTATCCCCAACTTCCATTCTTTATTACATTTTTTTTAGTCTTCTTGCTCTTTTGTTTGAAAATCCAACCATGGCATTTATTTTGCCTTTTTCTATGCAAATGTTGAATGTTTTTTGTATGTTACTTTTCGTAAAAACGTACACATTTTAAAATTATTAATTTAAAAAGTATGCTTTATGTGTGTTTACACAGTATTGTTGACTATATTGCATATTGTTCGAGTTCGTTCTTTCTGTACACATGTGTTTCGTTTGAAAAATTGATATTGATTGTTGAATATCAGATATTTGTGTGTATGTTTACTACAGTTACACTTTTAGTGTGATAGCGCGCATTACAAAAAGAATTTTTGACGTTTCGTTTGAGAAATTAATATTGTGTGTTCGTGTAACGATGGGCAAAAATTTTGAGTTTTGACTTTAAGTTTGACTGTCTCATTTTTAAAGGAATGTAAGTTCGATCCACGCTAGGTGCAAAAAAAAAAAACAACTTCTGATAATATCTTTGTATCAATTTTTCAAAAAAAAAGTATAATTTTTTTAATTGCAAAAATTTAAAAAAAAAAAAAAAATCCTACGGAAATATTTGTTAGCGTTTTTTTTTTGTTTTTTTTAAGTTTTGCAGTATTTTTCAACATTTTTGTTTACTTTTTTTTTCTTAAGACAATAGTGTACTCCTTAATAAATCTTTTCTTTGCATTTTCCAAGGATTCCAGCTTTTAACTAATAAAACAAATTTTCAGATTGGAATTTATTTTAATTTCTCGAAATTTCATCAAATTAAGTAAATGGAGGATAACAAAAAAATATTTTTTACCAAGATTTTCTAAAAAAATATTTCAAAAATAATTTAATTCATTTGTGAATAAGTCTTGATTGAAAGTTTCATTGAAATCTGACAATTACTTGATTTTTGCAAGAATTTCCAAATTAATGTGTTTTTCACCTGAAAAAAGCGCAAACCAAAAACATTAATCGTAAATTACGTCGCCCGCTAACTAACACAAAAAAGAAAAAAAAAAGATTTTTAACCAAAATTTCGAACGTGCTAGAAAGTATTAAAAACTTTGGTCTTTCTTTTTAACATAAACATTTTGTTAATAAAACTGTTTTATTAAGTTTGGGTCCTTTTTTCATCATGCTATGCTGATTTTTTTTAGCGACAAAGTGGAGGTACCTATAGGGAAGGTCTGAATCCAACAATCTATTCATTGTCTCATGTTGACAAAACAATATAGAATAAGGAATTAAGAGAAGAAGGGTGATGGTACAATTTTTTTCCTCAATTTCCAAACCTAGAAAAGAAGAATTCCAGGTTTTAAATAAAAATTGTTTATAAATTTACAACGGAAAATGAAAGAAAGTATGTCATGCAAAAAAACATGTGCATAAATGTGACAATGTGTGTAAAAGAAAAAAATTAACGTAAACTTCAACAAAAGTTAAAAATTGATGCAATGCATAGAAATTGTATGTTTTAGATTAACAATCAGAAAAAGAAAGCTAAAAATTTCTAAATGCATAAACGTGGAAAGAATGCTTGGAGGATTTAGCACTCGTAGGATATATTGAGGTTGAGGATAAATGGAAGCGGAAGAAAACATCACCTACTTCACAAGTTTGAGCAAATGGACAGAGAAATAATTACCAAAAAAAGGGCTCATAAAGGAGTTGAGAAGAACAAGACAGGAAACTGTGGAGAACCATGATCACACACATCCTGAAGTGATATGACTCATAAAGAAATTAGTCATTATACAGTTAAGAAAATTAAAAATATGAGTATAATGTCATCAGAATTCTATACAAAGTTAATTTTATATCTTGATTATATTTTAATTTTATGTATTTAATAATCTCCTATTTTTGTTTTTTATTGTAATATGGAGTTAAATAAAATAGCATGGACACATAAAAAGTTTATATATGTATATTTGGGTGAACAAGTATGATGTTGAAAGACCTGAAATTTGTCATAACATCACTGATGAGGCGATCCTGTGCACCTGTTGCGGACACACACAGACACATAGACACACACACACACACACACACATACATATAATAAAAATATATAAAAAAATTAAAATATATAAAAAACGATATATATATAATATTTATTGTTTTTTGTAGGTTCTGTTGTCTGAGAAGTTTTACCAATTTTAAATTACGACAGAAAACCTCATTCTTCTTGTATGATCAAAATTACCTTCTAGATGTCCGCTTTGAGAGGCTTGTTCCTATAAACTACAATAAAAGAAACACATGCAAAGGATCCTTCTCACATAGAATCTGTCATGTTATACAAATATTTTTAGCAAATTTTACTAAAAAAAAAAAATTGTTGTAAAGAGAGTATCAAATTATAATCTATAGACACAAATAAATCTATACACACAAATAGAGATAACATTTTTGTTTTATTTGCATACATAAGAAAAATAATATACAAATAAAATATACTTATGTATACTTGTTATGTAAATGTTTTTATCTTTATTTGTATCATTTTTTTTTTGTATTGCTCCATTTTCCTTTGCATTTTGTAATTGTTTTTATATTTTTACTGATATTTTTTGTATTTTACATTAATTTTTTCAGCAGAAAATCTAACACAAGCACTGTTGTAATAGTGATATTTGAGATGCTATTCTAACCTAGATTTCTTGTACAAAATATCATTAGACATTCAGAAGACAATATTTAAGAAAATTTCATTTTAACTGCATTAATAAGAAAATGGTTCAAAGAAAAATTGTCATTCTAACAAAGAAATTGTTACCATCAACTAAATTTAAACTCATATAACAGGGAAAAATTCTTGAAATAATAGTTCAAACAATTACAGCTATATTTCTAAAAAGCTACCTATAATAGATATTTTTATTTAATAATGCAATTTCATTATAAAATGAGGTAGTTTAGTGTTCACCATATGCTTTTCAAAATATACTAAAATAACCATCTGTAGCATGTAGTCATAAAAGAACATAACTATTTTTAATTTTTTCTTTCAACTAAATTTAACTTAGAAAGAAATCAACAATCTTAATTCATTGTGTCTTAAGTTTTGGTATCACTTAAAAACAGATTTCATGACTATGAAAAGAGTATGTTTCTATTAAGATTAAAATTTTTAAATATATTAAAATCTAGAGATAATAAGTTGCTTTATATACATAATTTTTGCATAAAAAAAGGAGAAATCATACAGCTATTTTCACCTAAATAAATAGTTGTTTGAACAACTGAAATAAACTTAAATTATCCCTGCATTTTTTATGACAGCTAGTTCATCTATATGCATGTATTCATATTCCCAAAATAAACTGCAATAACATAACTGACAGCATCATTCCAATCATTAGTGTTGTAAATTATATTTCTATACTTTCTAGTATTTCTTAAGAAACAAGTGGAAGTAGATGTTAAATATTTTTAGAATATGTTTAAGTTCATACCTATTAAGTGGTAAATACAAACAATTTTCCAACTAAAAGCTAAATATTTACTTTGGTAGTGTATAAGTGTTAGATTCAATGAAACATGATACTTTTTATAAATTAGTTCATATTTGCATTGAAATATTTTTGATAAGCATTATTGACTAAGCTTCTTCAGTTCATGCTCTACGAATGTATTAAGTTCTGATTGAAAGATTATAGAATTAACTTTAAGCCATCACAGAGTAAAATATGTCAGTAACTGTTATCATTGAACTCATCAAAAAATTCATGTCATAAAAAAGATATGTTTAAAAATAAGTTTATTAGCGACATTAGTGAATAATAAATATCTTCATATGAAAACTGTATTGTGTGAAAAGAATATAGTTTGCTGTCTCTTATATCAATTTAATATTCTCTTTATTATTAGAAGATGATGATGATGATTTAAACTTAAAATAAGAATTATGGTCATTTCAAATTGTTTGCTGATATGTCAAGTGTGCCATGAGAAATGACATCACATTCCTAACCATTATGAGCAAAATGTAATTGTTTGTGGTGTAAATTTATAAACCTGTATTTGTATTTTAGGTTTGCATTTGAGATTAGGCTGAAATAGAGTCAGTG